ACAGAAAGTGGTGTTACAAACATTGTATAAAATTAGAAGTGCTACTGATTCTACAGGAAGTGGTGTTACAAACATTGTATAAAATTAGAAGTGCTACTGATTCTACAGAAAGTGGTGTTACAAACATTGTATAAAATTAGAAGTGCTGCTGATTCTACAGGAAGTGGTGTTACAAACATTGTATAAAATTAGAAGTGCTACTGATTCTACGGGAAGTGGTGTTACAAACATTGTATAAAATTAGAATCACTGCTGATTCTACGGGAAGTGGTGTTACAAACATTGTATAAAATTAGAATCACTGCTGATTCTACAGAAAATAGTGTTACAAACCTTGTATAAAATTAGAAGTGCTGATGATTCTACAGGAAGTGGTGTTACAAACATTATACAAAATTAGGTCTGCTGCCGAATCAAAGATCAATTTTTGTTTCTAGATTTTAAGGATTGAAAATCCAGTTTTTCCACAGGCTCTAACTAATTGTGTCTATTTTTGCGTGTCTGTTAACAGTTATTTCATTTAGACATATTTTTCTTATTCTTCTGGTTGACAAATTATCAAAATTTTACCCTATATTGTTTATATTTTACTGCTTCGTGTTACTCAGATGTCTGTCATCAAAAACTGCCTGAATAATGTGAAACTGTGTGTAAAAGTGTAACGAAGCGAAAGCAACGTTTCTTTTCAGGCAAAATTGAAGTGAGATTTTAAGTCATTAGAGATAAGTAAGGCCAAATACCATTCTAAACCTACCAGTAATATCTATGATAATAAATTCCATGTAAAAGTAACTAAGCAAGTCCATTAAAGTAACAATTATGTGGGAGTGGGAGAAGGTTCAAGACGGTCTGGAACGTTCTCAACGACTGCCAGGAGTTTCCTCTAAACACTTCCGTTGCTTAGTGTGTTTGTTTTCAATTTTTCGCCCAAAGCTACACAAGGGCTGTCTGCTCATCATAATGGTTTCTAATTTTTCAACTGATAAACTAGAAGACCGATAGCTAATCAACAACACCTACCGCCAATCTTATGGCTACTTTTGACTATCAGCCATTCATCATATACGCACGGACCCAAAGGATGGAGCGCGATCTTGCGACCAAGGGACGCGAGCTATGAATCCTCAGATACACAGCCGACAAGCTAACCACTAGGCCAGGCCCACCCTTGAAAGACAATATAAGACTTCCATTGGTTCATGGATGAACGGTCTGTCCTCATTATGTGCACTGTACATTGGTCATTTCAAACTTAGAGGCATTGTACTTTTAAGTCAATTTTGACACAAAACAAAGTAGCCGTCGACCATAAAATATAAACAGGTACAAAGTTTAATGAGTTTAACGTTTGATTTGTTCATATGTTTACCATATTATTGAGATTTTTAAGTTGTTTGAAATGCATATGAACGGTAATTATTTTCATCCACTTTTGGTCTTGTGCTATGTATATTTCAACCGGACACAAATAGAATAATTTCCAACACCACAGGTCGTATGAAACTGCCTATCAATCTGCGACAAGAGGTCTTTACTAACGGGACTTTACTGATTCGTGACGTCAGCCGGGAGCTGGACGATGGTCTCTACACCTGTCGTGCGACCAATGACAATGGTCAGAGTGATAGTGGGACTGTTCGAGTTACTGTTATGGGTTTGTACAAAACTAAATACTATTTGGTTATTTATTTTACATAAAGTTGCTTGTTTTTTAGCGCTGGTATTTATGCACGAATCTTTTTTCATTATTATTGCGGGTTCGTAAAAATTGTCAGCTTATTTAAGTTTTACAAGTCCGTGTAGTCAAAATTACACAGTTTTATTTCTCCCTAATTATGTTGACTTACGAAAGGGAACCATATTAAGGTATCAAATGTTCAGAACAAACAAACAGTTGAAAGACTACTTACTAAGACAATGAACCAGGCCGAGAGAAGACTTTAAACATTAGAATGATAAAATTACACAGTTTTATTTCTCCCTAATTATGTTGACTTACGAAAGGGAACCATATTAAGGTATCAAATGTTCAGAACAAACAAACAGTTGAAAGACTACTTACTAAGACAATGAACCAGGCCGAGAGAAGACTTTAAACATTAGAATGATAAAACTTGAGCTCCCTACTTCTATACGATATCATTTACTAATGGGATAATTTTTATATCAATTAAAAGAATTATGCTATTATATTTTTCACATAAACAGTTTGCATAAGTAGGGTAAGAAACTTTGACGTAAGGCCGCATTGAATAGCTATCGCAAACGTTAAACTTGGCATTCCCCTGTAAAGAAATATAATATGAAGAACCAGCATGTCTAATAAACATATTTGGTGAAAGAATGTAATTTGCTGATTGGGCATTTCAGAAATCTGAGTGAAATGGAAATGAAGCTTTTTAAGAAAATGTACTGAAGCCTAAATCTTTGTTAGTTTGTAATGACAAAATGAAAATTTAAAAACTAGGATATCCAAAGCATACTTGCAGTAACTGTGGGAATCATGTAGTACATTAATAACTTGTAATATAAATATATATATCAGTATGGCTAACTAAATACACCCTTCTTATGTTTCTGTTTGTGAAGATTAGAATGCATTCTTTCATCAGTTAGGTACTGTCGCCATTAACGATATTTTCGGCCGTAATCCCAACAATATCTCACAGATTTGGCTAACTTTGGGGATTTAGGTTAGTTCTAAATATATATATTAAGCTAACAGTGGAAAACTATCTTTATAATAAATGTATACTAATAACTGTTTGAGTTTCTATTCTCCGTTTATTACTGAAATGAAAAAAAAAGCTTATTAAATTTATTACTGTATCAGTTATAATGTACTAACTAATCAGGAACCATAAAACAGGATAGTAGTCGGTGGTAAAAAAGAAAACAAAAACATTAGGTATAAAAATATGATCCTACTCATCACAGTATATATATATAGATGTATATAATTATAAAACTATAAGATACATTAATTGTAAATAGGTGATCAAATCAGCATTGTATAACAATAATGAAATTAAGAGAAATCAAAACGTTGAAAATGAAACAAAAAATAATTCTTTTTTGCATTACCAGTCCTTGTCATCATCATTAACTGATAACAGAAAATATCTATGGTCATAACTCCCAAACATGTGGATATTCCATCTACTGGACAAGATCCAAACAGAAATGTCAAACTAGTCAGCATCCATGAAGAATCAATTAAGGGTTAGGAAATGAACCCATAACGACAGACAGCGTAAAGCAGTAGGAGTTGAGACGTTGTGGGTTCAAGCAGTCAAACTCCTACCCCTTAACTGGTTCTACATAGCTGCTGACTAGTCTGATATATGTGTTTGAATGCTATGACCACAGACATTTTCCGCTATAAGATAAAGATGACAAGAACTAGTAAATAATAAACAATTTTTGGCTGTTTTAGTTTCATTGAGAAGGGTTTGATTTGTTTACCTATGTAAACAAGCAATACAGAAATTTTTACTTTTTCGATACGGGACCGTTTTAAACAACAATTCCTTTTAAGTATTTTGATTTGATTTTGATGAACATAAGATCAGTCAGTTTTTCGATGGTTCAAATTAATGAATTCCCATTTTATACCATTTATATCCTTATGGGATCACTCCAACACTTAAATTTAATAACTTTAGTAAAAGTACGTTTTTTTAGCAGATCTCGGTGACTTTATGTCATGCTTTTGCCACTATGACCTATTGACCTAACATTCAAATGAACCCAATGATATACACGTTTCACGGACCATGCGTTTCTAAAATAAGTATTTCAAACAAACATTTTCTTAACAGACTTTTACATACGTCATTTGTCCTGTTCAATGGTACTGCAACCTAAGTGTTCAACCGAATCATGTAATTTTACATCAGCATAAGCCTTAATGTAACTTTTACACCTATTCTGCTGAATTTCGTGACTGTGTGTTAGTCGTATTAAGATGAACTCTTTTGAGTCACTGATCTCAGTATATTCTACACTTTTATACGTTGTATCCTGAAGGAATTACTCTAACATTTAATCGTAGTAATTTTAGTAGTTACTTACAAGTTTTAATCTGACGACAGTTTAATCTGATTCCCAGTTTGCCCCTGAAGAAGAAAGGTCCACCTTTCGAAAGCGCTCGGGTTATAAGGTTTTTATCATTTTGTATCAAGACTTCTTGAATTTATGTGTTTTTCTGACATGTTTTTGCGTCTGCTTGTGCTACCTAATACCTTAACCCAGTGATAATAAGACCTTTGTGACTCTACATTATCTGGGTTTCGAACTACACATGTGACGGTGTAAGACCTTTTCAACCAGTTTCTGATTTGTTTGATTTCATCCCTTCTATATAATGTGTCGTTGCTTCTGTACAGGGATAATTTGCTGATTGGTTTGGTTTCGTTGCTTCTGTATAGGGATTATTTGCAAATTATCCTAATACAGAAGCAATGCAATCAACCAAATCAACGAATAATATTTAAATAGAAGACAAGTAACCAACCAATTTAACGAATAACCCCTATATCGAAACTACGCAACCAGCCAAATCAGCGAATAATCTTTATACAGAAGCGATGCAATCCCCGATAATCACTGTACAGAAGCCACGTAACCAACCAAATCAGCGAATAATCTTTATACAGAAGCGATGCAATCAACCAAATCAACCAATAATCACTGTACAGAAGCCACGTAACCAACCAAATCAGCGAATAATCCTTACATAGAAGAGATGAAACCAAACAAATTTGGGATTATTTGCGGATTTGTTAGGTTGCGTGGCTTCAATATATAGGAATTATTCGCTGATTTGGTTGGTTGTGTGTCTTTTATGTAAGGAGTATTCACTGATTTGGTTGTTTGTGTTTTTATATATGGACTATTTGCTGATTTTATTGGTTGCATCGCTTCGAGCACTAATCTGCATATGTACGTTGTAAGGTTTTATATATGGGCCAGATTCTTTACAGTAGAAGTCTGTGACTTATAGGCGATAAATTTCAACAATAAACAGACAGCACACAACCCACTTGTTTTAAAATAAGTCAAACGTAGATACAAATATTCGCTACACTGATGGTTACCACAGTTGTATCCAGAGCTTTAAATAACTGTCTCTTTTTCGTTACAGTCCACACAGGCTGGTTCGGTTACTTTAGAATACAACTGACAAGACGAATTATTCTTCTCTACTCTGTTATTACAATACAATCTGAGATAAGTTCACTTTAAAAATCGCCACTTAACACTCTTTATGGCTAAACCACAATCTCGCAATCAGTTCTATCTTTCGAACTAAATTTCCGATGCGTATTTATACCCCCGACAGAGGTCTATAACGTTTTACACACTACTAGATATTATGATACAATAACACTCAATTAAAACGACGAGAAAAACTCGAAAAGTTCTAATAACACGACGCAATAATATAACAATCACAAATTTATAACTAGTAAACTTGACAACGTATGATTCGTAAACAGTTACGTAAACAAACCTGCGATAAAATATCGCTTCTAAAAATAACAAATTTAACACTCAGGCTATATAAACTATCTAAATCATAACACTTGCATTAAACATAAACTGAAACAGTCGTGTATATCTACTTAACAGTTTTACACTTACTTACATTTACTTCTTTCCTCGTGTATGTTATTTCCAAGATGTGAAGGGTAGCAGAATTTTCATCCATCTTTTTATCATCCCATTACATAGACAGTTGACATTATCCATGACATTTCTTATAATAGGAAAATGTGTTAAACTTTATCTATTAAATGGCAACGGTAATAGTTATATCGTGTAGTAAGTCATTCTTACTCAAATTAATGGAATCATTGTTAATACAGAAAACATAAGGCTCATGTTCAACTCACGCATACTATTTCGTAAAATCATTTGATGTCGTTATTTTGAAAATAAATACAGATAAGTAAGTAGTATGCGATTTTCTCATACGATGATCACTTCGATATCCTGGCTTTAACATTAACCCCCTCCCCTTTTAGTGGCTCAGCGATTTGTTTTAGCGCAAAGCCATATTGGGCTGTCTGCTGTGTCCACCACTGGGAATCGAACCCCGGACTTTAGCGTTGTACGTTCATAAAATTATCGCTGACACACCGGGATAACTCTCAGCGATAAGTCTGCAGGCTTACGAAGCTAAAATTCGGGTTTCGATACCCTTGATAGGCAGATCACAGATAGCCCATTGTGTAGCTTTGAACTTACCAAAGGTTAACTTAAAGGTTAAAAATTGTTTTACTTTAGCCGATAATAGGGATTATAGCCAAATATTAATTTTTGAAACTGGTATACAATTTCAGATTATCTTACAAGAAAATCGGTTTTGGGGTTCTTCTTTGAAGGTCATGGTTAACAGCTGGTTGAGTTGGTAAAATAGTTTTACGATGAACAATTTGCTGGAAGGTTTTTTTTTTTATGAAGATGTCGTGAAGAAGATCCACGAAAGTGTATCGAAATGTCGTTTCCAACAAAGACACCTTCCAGCAAGCAGGTTGTCCACTAGAAGTACGTTTTACCATTTGTGGGCCAAGTAGCTCTGTTATCCATGTGATACTTAGTTATGGCCATGAAGATTAAATTGAATACAAAAACTTGTAAATGTTCAGAATACCTATTTTACTGAATGCAACTGAACCCTGCTGACCAACCAGATTCCTCTGTTGTTACCATCCCTGGGAGGGTAACCCAATCATATTCCTTTGTTGTTTGTAACTAGACTCTTAAGGTATTTATTTTTCTTTCTTAAACTTTTAGTGTACTTTTTACCGCTTTTTATCATGTACAATAATTTTTTTGAGTTTTTAAGACTATACATATGTGTCTGTGTTCAGTGCATAGAGAAAAAACGTATGGGAACTGCCTTTCCGTCTTAGCCAAGTCATCTCTTTGTTCTGCTTCTATCAGACAGTGTACAAACCTAACTAGGAAGCAGTGTATAACACCACGGTTACCAGTGGGTCGTGGAATAAGGTCTTGAAAAGAAACTCATAATGTGTTAAACGCAGTGTTCTAAAACAAACAAAAAACACGCTTTTGTTTCTATTCCCTCACTGACTGAATACCTTTGTTTAGTCTGCGAGTAACAGTTGACAAAGCTCAAACCCTTAGAACTTTCCTGTTTGCGATCAATTACAAAAAGATATTCTTGTTCTCCCCTGTATCTAAAACGTCAAACCGTTTTTTTTAACTTTTTCTATTCTTATATTCAAATTCATAATGCAAAGATTGTTGAAATAACCCAGGATTTTGTGTGAGACATCTAAGCCTGACTTCTGTTTTTATCCATTAGAAAATTGATTAAAATATAGGATATTTTGTGAACTTTGTCGCTAGGTTTTCTACAGTGATTCAAAGCTGCCACATTTACAAGGGAAAGACAATTGTCAATGATTGATACCAAGAAAGTCTTACAAAATCACTAGCGGATAGATTTAATTAAAAACATGTATTCAAGTGGCTTGTATATATATATGTAAAGAGTCAACTGTGGTGCCCTAAGTGGAAATCAGGGAAGTGGGAAGCAGTTTTTAAGTATATTACTTTATCATAAACAAAATGTGGCGCAAAAAAGATGTTTACAAAAGATAAATACAATAATTCTTACACTACTGACCGGTTAAGATGGCCATCTCTGTCATTTGCCTTCCCCAAAATAACATTTTTTATATGGTTAGCTGTCATACATGTAGAAATGAATTTAAAAGTTTTGTTACAAATTTTAATACAAAATAGTACTTAGTAATTTCTCTTGTTCAGAGCTAAATTTGATGAGACAAATAAAATATTTATTTTTCAATCTTAAACTATTAAACATGAACAGTTCACTTTAATGAAACAAATGGAACAGACGATATCTGTGATTAAAGTATAATAAAACATTTTATCTAGACAAGAACACTTCTTTATCTTTATAATTTATTTACAACTTACAGTTATTTTAGTTGCCGTTAAGGACATAAAAATGTATTTATTTATTTACAACTTACGGTTATTTTAGTTGCCGTTAAGGACATAAAAATGTATTTATTTACACCTTGTTATTTTAGTTGCCGTTAAGGACATA